CGACTGAGCCACTCAGGCACCCCTAAGTTGCAATTAATTTAATCTTGAGAATAAAATGTTTATTGCACATCTCCTATATGGCAGGGGCACTCGGCTCACGACGTATCACTTCATAATACTGGGAAATAGGTACTAAAAGCCCTGTTTTATAGATGAGAAAACTGAAGCTCAAGATTAGATAACTTGCTCAAAGTTATACTATAAAGAAGAGATAAAGAGATAAGAAGGGGATTCGACTGCAGCCCTGATCCCAAAGCCTGTGCTCTTCATTCCTCTATGCCCTGCCTTTATGATATGTATTTTTTAACAATAAGAAAAAGCTAAAACAAAACTATTTTTGAGTAGTTTATACAATCTCCACCACCTTAAAGCTTCTAATACAAAACTTTTGGATAAGTAAAATATTTGCCCCCATTTACCCTGAAAAAGATAAAATCTTACAAATCTCTCAAAAGGTAAACTCTCATAATATTCATTCCCTAATCCTTTCCTCTATTTTTTTTTAAAGATTTTATTTATTTATTTGACAGAGAGAGACATCGAGAGCAGGAACACAAGCAGGGGGAGTGGGAGAGGGAGAAGCAGGCTTCCCGCTGAGCAGGGAGCCCGATGTGGGACTCGATCCCAGGACCCTGGGATCATGACCTGAGCCGAAGGCAGACGCTTAACGATTCAGCCACCCAGGCGCCCCTTTCCTCCTATATTTGCATTTACTTTTCAAAGCCCCATTTTTTTATAAAATGCTGAATAAAGATAACAATAACAACATCAAAAACTACTCATTTTACATTCTAAAATATCTGTGAGAAAAGCATGAACAAAGAGGTAAGTAAGTATACCACCTGGAATAGAATTATTTCTACATTCTTCTCCAGAAGGACAAACTTCTCTTTTCTGAGTGACGTCCCGCCTGCCTATCAAAGCTCAGTCCAAGCTTCACTTACTTTGTGCAGCCATACCAATTTCTCTCTTCTTCCAATTTGCATTTACTATGTTTGCTACACAATTACTACTTTATTGCAAATTGGCACATACAAGGTTCTGATTAAGTATTTGTTGAATTATTTCTCTCTCTAGCAATCAATTTAATACTTAGTTATAGAAACAAAGCAGTATCAGTGTAATTTGTATTCTATCAATATTCAATGCAGGATTATCAGCACATAATTGGCAAAATGTTATCTGGCTCACTAGATATATGTTATCTGGCATATACTAAATGTATATGACTTAACTTCTCAAAATGACAAAGACTGGTTTTTTATCTATTTTATATACCAGAATCATTAGCACACAGGCAAGATGAGGTGTACTTAAGAAACACCTGCTGATAAGTTATTTCTGACCAGACTGAATAAAAATTTCTCAAGAAAATTCAACCAGTGTGAAGATTTATTTGGACTAAAGGGTTACTAGTGGGTTTTTTCTTTTAATGTTTTCAAAATAGAGAACAAACACAAAGATTGATATCAGTTAGCAGGTAACATATGACCATTTTACTGACAGGAATTGTGATAAGAAAATAGGTTCTCAAAAGTAGTAATAGTTGCATGGTAGTTTTATGACTTTGCAAAAAGTCATCATTCTTTTTGCCCTAAAGAAGTATAATCATATTATAAGCTAAATTAACTTCTAAATCTGCTGCTGGATCAAGTCCAGTTGTGGGCTGAATAAACAAGATAAAAAACTTTAAGCAAGAGGCTGCAACTTTACTACTTAAGAACTGAAGCTTAAAATATTTGAATATGTGTATTTTACAAATAAACTAAAACAAAATTTTAAAAACTATTTCACTGACAAGTTTAGAGTCAAGCTCATCAGTAATTTCTACAGCTTACTCTCCATTTAAATTATACATGTTATCATTTTCCACCTTTTAAACATTTTTTACATTTACAGGACATTTTTGAACATTTACAGGATTATATAATATACAGAGTGCTATAGATTCTTTATCATATAGTATATCTTATTATTTATGTAGGTCTCAACGTTTGGTCCCAGGGATGTCGCAAAAGCTGACAGGAATGAGTCTGTCTAAATTGTTTTTTAAAATTAATACAACAAATACTGTATGAGGAAAATCAATTAATACATAGTAACTACTATAAATAGTAAAGTGAACTATTGAGAACTTAGCTAAAATGTGTAGCCCCTTACCCTGACTTACACTGAAGGGAATGGTATCTATCCATATCAGAAAAAGTTTTGCAATGACCTATGGTACTCATTTTCCAATCCTGAGTTACTCTAATTACATAGTTCATAAGTGTCTAATATTAAAGAGCCAGTAAAACAGCTTGAGCTCTGAAATTTTATAGACCTGATTTGTATCCTTGTTCTGCTGCTTAATAATGCTATAATTTTGGGCAAAGTAATCTCTTTGACCCTAATTTTTTTTCCCATTTCATTGATAAAATGGAGAAGTAATGGAATCTCCAGAATTACTAAAGAATACATGAGACAAGTTGAAATATTTATCACCACAATACCTGGCACACAGCAATAATTCCATAAAGATACAATCAAGTCACTATAAAAGGAAATCAAACATTATGAATTAATGAGATTACAAAGATTCAGTGCTTACCTAATCACTCAAAAATAGATAATATTGGGATTTATAAAAATGAAAATATAAAACTTACAGGAAAGAGGTATTAAGTGAACAGAGTCTCAACTGAATAATTTACATATAGACTGTCATTTTAACTCTTGATCTAATCATTGTCTTACTAAATATTTTGATAGCTCTAATAAATCACATTCGGGGAAGGGGGAGGGAGAATCCTATGCTATTCTTCATTTTTTGAAAGTTTATATTCTTGATTTACTAGCATTTAATTTGGCTCACAGTTTTGAGAGGTCCTGACACTAAAATAACCATAAATTATAACCAAACTCTGACATCCTATAGATGAAGTTACATTATTGAGAAAGAACTGGATCCTTATTTCAGGTCATGAAATTGTATAAATCTACATGTTAGGTACAAGAAGTGATGTGAATCATCAGTGACAAGTATTATACTTAATTTTTCAAAAATATTTTTTCATGACATATAAACCTAGACAGTGATACCTATGATTTTATAAAGTAATTTTAGATATATTATTTTGAAAAAATAACTACATTTTACCACATGACAACAGTCACGTCATACAAGTATATTTTTAAATGAATTTCATTCTTTTAACATGAATTATGATTAATTAGAAATAATGCAAATTCCAGTTATATAATATAAATTAAAACGCATTTAAGACACTATAAATAAGATAACTAAAAATACATATTTATTTATATTCAGTTTTGAGAATGTATTCTTTCATTGTATTTAAGTTTATATTTTCCTTTTCAAAGTCGCCACCATCACGAGTCAAGTATCATAAAAAGTCAGATACACTAATACTACAAAATAGAACTCTAATTATATTTAACATTAAGCTTCAATTATTTTTTGTAAATATTGTGGAGAGACTTAATCAAATAATTCTGTTATATTTCTAAAATGATAATTATTACTTAAATGAGTTAATGTGAGTTATTAAAAAGATACCTTAATTATCAGGAATTAAATTTAAGAAGTATTATACTGTACTTTAATTCATAAAACTAACAAAAGTCAAGGATTTTCAACTCTTTTTATCTGTACAGTTAAGTAACAATATACTTAGTTAAAAAAAGTAAACTGAAATATAGGTATACAGCAAGCATCAGAAGTAATCCATTCTGAATTGTCTAGTATATTGGTTTCTATTATTACTGTTTTTGTGCTAGATTCCACCTCTGAAAAGCTCAATCACATCTAATAGGATCATGATTTAGAGAAGGCCTCAATTTTTATTCATCATAATAATATGATGTCAGAAAGTGTTCAACTTCAAATCATGACAGATAAAAACTCCATGTTTAACAGCCATATTTAGTTTGTTTGAGCTGGTGAGCAGATGTAAATGTGATCTGCAATACTAGCAAACTCCAGGTCTGATAGATAGCAAGCTAATATTTATTTTTAAGTGCTCTAAAAATTATTTGTAAAAGCTGCATAAAAAGGATTCCATAAATGTATTGTGATTTTATTTTAACAATTATTCTACACTACAATGGAAGTACATGCTCAAACAAGACACCTCAGCAGTATTTTAAAGCAGTAACCACCTAGCCAATTTCTGTATGTTCTGTAGTTTTTCTAATCCACTCTCCCTGTGGTTGAGCAAAATCGAATTGCCTCTCACATTTGCAGACAGCTCTGTGAAGGTGATAATAGAGCTGCTCCCTGCTGTCATGAGGCAGGAAATAGGAAAATGGCATATGGGGCTAGAAAGAAAGAAATAAAAAAAAGAAAGAGAAAGAGAGAGAACGAAGGGGGGAGAAAAAAAGAACTAAACAAGAACAAAAGATTTCAACAAAGAACAACTATAACCCAATATGCTTTGCAAGTTAATCTCTTTTCATAATCACTTAGGATATTTAATCATTCATCTGTGTCCTCACTCCAAAAATGCGAATGGCTGATACCAAGTCTTTGGGTCAAGTTTTCATTGTCTAAAATATTTGGAACATCCAACTCCAGAATATGTCCTGCACAATGTATGCAAAACAGTATCTTTAACTAGATACATAAAATGTGCCAATCCCAAATTCACCATTTTAAAGTAAAGGAAGGTAGAACAATGTTTATTAAAATATTAATAAAATGTGTACAGCAGGCTTTTAGTATGGTTTCACATTTCTAAATCTATGAAATACAAACAAACTTAAAAATAAACATTTATGGTTAGGCAATAGCTGATTGAAGTAGAAACAAATCTCTAAGTGGTTATATTGCTAATCATACCAAGACAACACATTTTTCAACTTGTACAGGTTTTTTGTTTAAGTACACAGACAAGGTTTTTCTGTGTAAGAATCCTGCTTTAAACAAAAGAAATTTTAATTTAATGTATGTGTAAACAGAATGTGGCAGTAGATGCTAATAAAGATAGAATCTACTCTACCTTTCCTTTTACACTCTGAATGGGGTCCACAACCACTGCCACAGCTCTCTCCGACAAGGCTTCAAAGCTCTGCTGAGTGTTGATATCCACACCAGAAAGCCAACAACCAAAGCCAGGGTGACTGTGATACCAACCAACAACCATCTCAGGCCTGAAACAAAGAGGGCATTCAGCGGTTCAGAACAGAACAAGTAATACACGTTTATGATATGAAAAGAAACAACACACTAACAGGGTATAAATTAAGAAGAGATGAAAAACACACAGGTGTGAAAAAAGCACCATTAGAAACACTGAAATCATACACCATATTACCCAGAAAACATGGAAATGAATAAGCATGACAAAGGAGTGCTATCATTAAGAGATGCACATTAGCAGTGGTAGATAAGGCTTTCAGTTTTTCACCTTGTTACCACACTTTCTCTGAGCCAGTTTTACCCTTTCAGCATTCAAGTAAATATCTACTCTTTAACTCCTTAGATCTGGGAGTTGGATTTTCCAGGCAGAGTACATTTTTAACAATGGACACCAGGATCCACTGTTGTGAAAGGATTAAATATCAATTAAACCAGCAGTAGAACTAGGAACTCAGTCAAAAACCAATTTGCACTGTTCTGCTCAGCTGCTGAGCCTTTTGCTAACAATAATTTTGAAGTTTCTTCCACAGTAGAAGAATTTGAGCAAGAGAATGACAACTATTGAGATTTAACCTGGGGGGAGGGGCTTGAAGAATATTTGAATTCTACTTTCTCTCTCTTTAAAAATCACATGCCTAATATAATTAAATATTCAGAACCTTACTTAGTTCCAATACCTGGAACATACAAACTCTTTCAATTATAAGTGACTAGAAAGTAACTCCATATGCTAAACAGGGAAGCTACGGCCCAAGCGTACTATGTGATGGTTGAGAATTTTAACATGAGATAATTTTCTCATTGGCAAATTTCTCTGATTCGAGAAGAAAGAGATACTAGGTAGGTGATACACAGTATTTAGAGTGATACTTTTATATTAACTACATGGCTTTTTTTCCCTAGGTACGATATTCATAAACATCCAGATTTTTGAAATACATCTCTAAAAATATTTCCCATTATTCCTTTATAGAATCAGTTAAAATACTTACCTTCCTGTCTGCTTCAACATATCTAACATTTTGGCTTGGAATACTGGATCAACTGCCTCCACACTGACACCCTGGTTTAGATAGAAAGAAACATAATTAGCTTTTAGAACTATGAAAAAAGATCCACAAACATTTATCCACTCTAAATGAACAAAAAGCTACCCCAAAACCCCCTATACATATTATTTTGGGATACCAAAATAATTTTATAGGTTTGGATATTCATAATTGATTCCCACTTGTATCATTCAATTATAAGCCATACTTTAATAAAACTTCTAAAACTGCCAAGTACCAAACTGCTGTTAGCTAATGAGTTAAGACAGTTTTCAGGATCCTTTAAGAGCTTATGGCCATGGCTACGTATATGTGCACATGCATTCGAACACACACACATACACACACACACACACTACCAGAAATACCAAACAATTGAACCATTTTTGTTTAGACCTATCTTTTTTTTTTTTTTTTAAAGATTTTATTTATTTGACAGAAAGACACAGTGAGAGAAGGAACACAAGCAGGGGGAGTGGGAGAGGGAGAAGCAGGCATCCCGCTGAGCAGGGAGACCGACGCGGGGCTCGATCCCAGGACCCTGGGATCATGATCCGAGCTGAAGGCAGATGCTTAACGTCTGAGCCACCCAGGCGCCCCATTGTTTAGACCTATCTTGACAAGCATACTTTCAAATGCCATCTCTGATACCCGATAAGCACAATGTCCCTTCCATCCCATCCAAAGTTTTTCAGCTATTATAATAATCAACAACCTGAAGTCTTCTTTTTCCTCGGTAATATAAATACTTTGAAGAATGAAGATTCTCTCTTTCCTGGGCATCTGGGTGGCTCAGTTGGTTAAGTGCCTGCCTTCAGCTCAGGTCATGATCCCGGAGTCCCGGGATAGAGCCCTACATCGGGCTCCCTGATCAGCTGGGAGTCTGCTTCTCTTTTTCCCTCTGCTCCTCCCCCTGCTCATGCTCTATCTCTCGCTCACTCTCCCTCTCAAATAAATAAATAAATCTTAAAAAAAAAAAAATTCTCTCTCCCCCCCATTCCCCATTAGAGACAATCTATAACCAAGTCTTTTAAATGTTGCATTATCTTGCTAGTTCAACCAAAAAATTTTAGAACATGGAAGAATTAAAGGCATTCATGTCATCTCTCCAGTGATAGATCACTGCCATTTTAATTCCTACAAGGCTTTCTTCTAACACCAGGAATTTAATTCTAATCTATCCCAATACACCAGTTAACATCAGCACTTCCCTCCCACCAAAACAAACAATATCTGAATTCCAGTTGAGAAAGCATCCTCAAGAACAGGGGTATACAATCTGTTGCTATAGGTTTTTACATTTTTAAAGTGATTAAAAAAACAAAAAACACAAGAATATGAGACAGAAACATACATCTTTACAGAAAGTTAGCTAACTCCTGGGCCAAAAAAACCCTTTCTAATCTACTACACAGAATGAACACGAAGATAAAAATCTTCTATTTCATATTGTCAAACAAGCATTTCAAGGAAATAATGATATTAAAGCTTAAGAACTCCTTATTATAATTGATAAGGACCACATGTAACAGAAATACTAGTTAACTTTGTTTTTCATATTCTGACATGAAAAGATAAATATAGGTAAAAGTAGCCTAAGACCTAAAAATATAGCCTAAGATATAAATCTAAATCTTTAGTTAATACGTAGCATATTGCTCTATATCCAAATGTACAAAATAAATACAATGGATAGCCAGGTGGACAAAATCAGATCTAAATTAGTTTAGCTCAATAAACTAGTCCATTTGGAGAGAAATTTGCATATTTTCTATATTTTGCGTTATTAACAAATACACTGCAATCTGTAGTAACTACTCTATTTAAAATGCTGGGGCCTCTCTTTCTCCCTCTAAAATAAATAATAATAAATAAATAAACCTTAAAAAAATGGGGCGCTTGGGTAGCTCAGTTGGTTAAGCATCTGACTTATGATTTAGGCTCAGGTCATGATCTCATGGGTCCTGGGATCAAGCCCCACATCGGGCTCCACGCTCAGCAGGGAGTCTGCTTGAGATTCTCTCTCTCCCCCTCTCGTTCTGCCCCTCCCCCAACTCGCACACACTCTCTCTCTCTTACTCTCAAATAAATAATAATAAATAAATCTTTAAAATGCTTGGGCATCTGAGTGGCTATGTCGGTTAAGCAGCCGACTCTTGATTTCAGCTCAGGTCATGGTCTCAGGGTCATGAGATTGAGCCCCATGTAGGGCTCCGCCAAGCATGAAGTCTACTTAGGATTCTTTTCCTCTCCTTCTGCACTCCAACCCTCAGTGTGTGCTCTCTCTCTGTAAATAAGTAAATAAATAATAAATAATAAAAATATAACTTGTTTTACTCTATTATCTACTTTATCAAGGTATACTTACAGTTAAGAGCCTCAAACAAAGCAAACAAGCTTTATGACAATTTTTTTAATCTAGTTTATTTTATAAGGCTCAGTAAGAGAAATGTTGCATATTAGAGAAAACACAACCATCAGAAAAATATACATGTTATATTTTTCTAGGCAAACAGATGAGAAGGATATGTGTGTAGTTTTTATAAGGCAGAATGCTTGTTGTTTTTTGGCCATTTTCTTTAGACATAAATGCACACCTTTTACACAAGTCCAATGCATTAAACAAAATAGCAAAACAAAACAAAAATCTTCCGGGAAGAATAATGCATTCTAAACAGGTAAAGTAAATGACTTCTAAAATTTGTATGTAGTATACTTCCTCTATAAAGAAATTACCACACCTGGGCAAAAGAACTAAAGTTTGCCAGTTTTTTTGGTTTCTTTAAACTTAATATTTTGAATATGAAAAGCTTAAGAGTCATTTATCACCATCTATAAAAAAACAGGGTCCAATATTTCAAATCAAAAGGAATAAAATGTGAGGACTTGATAACGCATGTGAATTAAAAGTCTAATTAAGAGAGTCTCTAAAATCTTCTGAATGGAGTGTTCAAATTAATACCCTACTATTATAGGGTAACTAACTTATAAATCTGGTATGCTATACTAGTTAAAGTTGAAAGTATGAGTTAAGGGATTTAATGCTAACATCATTCAGTTTGTAGACCTTCAGGGAATTCATCATGCATTTAAAAGATGAATGATTTAATTCCATTCAGGGTAGAAATTTCTATCATTAATCTTATGATGGATTTTTCCTATCAGGAAGAGAAAATATAATGTGATCAAAATTATTTTGCATAGGAAAAGGAAAGAGAAAAGAAACACATTTACTTACAGCAGGCAACCATAAAAAGTACTCACTGTTCCTGACTGTGGCATAGCAAACACGTCAATCACTCTGACGGTGTAATCGTCAACAAATTCTCCAAGCATCAGACCCATAACTTCCATGGGAACTCCAGCCCGACCATGCTTTAACATCTGTGAAGAGGAAGATAGGTGGGTATAAAGCTTTAAATTAAGATCCTTGGTACTTTTTTTTTTTAATAACCTAAGTTTGTTTCAGTGGAAATAAAACACTCTTATTTTACAGATGCACCTAGAGCACTGGCTTAAGTTTGAGGGCTAACATAACAAATATTCCCAAGTGAAAGCAACAGAGTTCTCTAAAGCAAGTAACTCTATTCAATACTTACTTTTAACAGTGCAAGGGAAGAAATATAGACCTGTTCTGCTGTGTCCACCGCAGGAGCATCTGTAGGTGGCCCCTAGAAATAAGCACATCAATTATTATGCACACACAGTTTATGAGTTTAAAATTAAAGTTATGTGATATAAACTTGATTGTTTTTAAGAGTTTTGGGAAAACCCATCAAGTATCCTTTTATTCTCAAGTATCGTTTTATTCAGGCACAACACAAATAATCAAAACAACTTAATAAATATCAAACCTCAAACCCATGGAAAACAAATCAAACTTAATGCTCAGGCAAGTGTCCAGCGGACATAAAGCTTAAATCTTTCAGCAATGCTAAGCTACCTCTGCTACAAAATAACTACAATACACCAATTAGCCACGTTTCTCCTTCTCAATCTGAGACTGATTTTCAGCTACAGACAGCATATACTTTAGGGCTATGGGATCTCAGCAGATGCACAGATATAGTTGGCGGGAGGGGACAGAAGATGTCTAACCCCTAGGTGAAAGAGCTGTGAACAACACACTATGCACTTCACCTGATAAACCTGTTCCTCTCCCCGATGCAATAAATTTAACACAAGTGCACCAGGTATGAACAAACTGGCTGAGACTAGTGTGGCCAACATGAAAATACTTTCAAATTCTTACTACCTTTCAAACAAATGTTACTATTTATCTTACTACAGGTTAAGGCAGACACTATTCTCCCTAAGGATTGTGTCTTCTTCATCAAAAGCAACAAGCCTCTTTTGACTATAACATTCAGAGGCACAAGGTAATTTACATAGGGTCCTTCCCCTCAAGATGACTACAATCTTATACATGTAATTCTGCACACAAGAAAGCTTTCTTGTTTTTCAATACCCGACAGTCTGGGAAATTAAAATGAGATGTGTCCTGTAATTGCCAGGTTCTGTTTTGCTCAAAGTTCCCTTTCCTTGACAGTAACTCTAATACAAATTACAAAACAAATGTTAGTTATCCAAATTATAAATCAATATTCTATCTTGCTTTTATGGGTTTACTTATTAAAATTAATCAACTGATTTACTCATTACATTTCAGATGTGCAGGTCTATGTGTATTTTATGCTTCTTGTCTATTTATATGCTAAATTCTGTCATTTTTTTAATTTTTATTTTTTGTGTAAAAATTCCTAATATTTGCTGGGAGCATTAAATATAAAGAGTTCTATAATAACTTTTCTCTGAATACAAGAACACAAAATTATTTCTTTTTTCTTACAGAAATTATTTGTTTCCTTATGTACAAGGGGGTAAGAAAAATCAAATGCCTAATTTTATTTTTAATAATATCAGATAATAAATTTAAAAAACCAAAAGTAATTCTCCATTTATTATTGCCTAATGCAGCTTTATTGCTTACTTTTCAAATAGAGATGAGTCTCTTTCAAAGGTTTGTTTATTTATTTGAGAGAGAGAGAGAGGGAGGGAGCGCATGAGCAAACGAGCTGGGGTAGGGGGAGGAAGAGGGAGAGAATCCCCAAGCAGACTCCCCACTGAGCACAGAGCCCCACGGGGGTTTGATCACAGGACCCTGAGATCATGACCTAAGCCGAAATCACTCCACACTTAATTTCCTAAGCCACCCAAGTGCCCCAATATAAGTCTCTTTCAGAATGAAAACTCTAAGGTAAGCTAAAGTACTATCATGCCAAAACATTTGTTGAGATCATCATATAAAACAAATGTTTTTTTTTAAGATTTTGTTTATTTTAGAGAGAGAGTGTGTGGGAGCGTGGGCAGGGGGAGGGACAGAGAGGGACTAGCAGACTCTGTACTGAGCACATAGCCCAATGTGGGACTCGATCTCATAACCTGAGATCATGACCTGAGTCGACGTCAAGAGTCACTGCTCAACCAGCTAAGCCACCCAGGCACCCCTAAACATGATAATTTTGTTAATATGATCATTTTATTCATCTAACTAAAAAAGTAAAGAAAGTTTAAGAAAAAAGGTGAGGACAGTAGTAAGTCAGCTGTAATGAGAGGTCTTGGGGAAGCACTACTTTAAATTAGGATAATGAACACTATATTTATTCACAGAGATTAATTCCTGAATCCAGAGCAACTTAAAAATTTCATATGGAAAAAGAATTTAAAATGGTATCTAGACTGTAGTTATTAATACAGCCTTTCTTTAATTTTTTTTAATACTGCCCTTCATAACTTGCCAGAAAATACTAAAAAAAGGAATAGGGAAATAAAACATCATACCATCAGGAAAATGTATTACCGACAAGTCCAGAAACTACCCCTGCCATCAATTAAAGAACTGTCTGTTTTGTTCAACATTACATATAACCAGTACCTAGCAAAGTGCCTGAAAAGAACTTAATAAGTGTTGGCTGAAAAAAATGAAATGAATAAACTGAGGTACTATAAGCCAGTGGAACAGAAATGAAAAATACCCACCAGTTACTCTGTGAGAGAGAACAAACCATACGTAAGTAGATATAAAAGATCATCACCTCCTCTTTCACTATTTTCTTCTGGTTCAGAAACATACTAAGAGAAAACCATTTGACTGTTTCTCTACTGGATGGGTGCTGTTTTTTGAGAGAGCAGCCAGTGATATTTCCTATTGCTTCTCTCACTCCACTACTATTTTGTTTCTTGATCTAGTCAGAGACTAAATTCCTTAGAAAAAAAACTTGGCAAGAAGTAGAAAAGAGTTTATAGTGGTGTACTGCATTCATTCATTCATTCATTCATTCATTTATTTATTTATTTATTTATTGTTGGCAGTACTTTTTTTTTATGTTAATCACCATACATTATATCATTAGTTTTTGATGTAGTGTTTCATGATTGTATCATATGACCTCACTGATATGAGGAATTCTTAATCTCAGGAAACAAACTGAGGGTTGCTGGAGTGGTGGGGGGTGGGAGGGATGGGGTGGCTGGGTGATGGACACTGGGGAGGGTATGTGCTATGGTGAGCACTGTGAATTGTGTAAGACTGCTGAATCACAGACCTGTACCTCTGAAACAAATAATACATCATATGTTAAAAAAAAAAAAAGAAGAAGAAGAAGATAGCAGGAGGGGAAGAATGAAGGGGGGGAAATCAGAGGGGGAGACGAACCATGAGAGACTATGGACTCTGAGAAACAAATTGAGGGTTCTGGGTGGCGGGGGGATGGGTGAGCCTAGTGATGGGTATTAAAGAGGGCACGTTCTGCATGGAGTAGTGAGTGTTATTATACACAAACAATGAATCATGAACTGCATTTTTTAAAAGTAATCTCTACACCCAATACGGGGTTCAAACTCACAACCCTGAGATCAAGAGTAGACATCAGAATCACATGCTCTTCCAACGGAGCCAGCCAGGTGCCCCTGAACTGCATTCTTAAAAGAAATAAAAATAAAGAGTAATCCATGTAAAATACTGTCTACAGGACAGATGTTCAGGACCTCTGGTAGTTGTGAATATTTGAGACTATCACTTTTCATATGCTCACCTGTCCAGATTATCATACAACCAGGCAAGGAAGAAAAAGAAAACTCCATCAGAGACCCTGGAAACTGAGCTTAACTTAACCCAAGTTAAGAAAAATGTGGGGCTATGGACAATGTACCTACATTGTCTTTCGGCAAATGCTCCTGAGCAATAGCATCCTGATGATTCAAAGAGAGGAAAGAAATCTAAAAATAGGACTCATAAACAAAATTTTAGAAAACTATTTGGCATCAGTACAATATAAGCTTTCCTAACTTTGAAACAGAAAGTTCAAGGACAGACCAATATGAAAAGATGAAAAATAATTAAGAACTAAAATCACATGGGAGGAAACAAGGGTAAAAATAAGATTATGACAAGTTTAATTCACTGATACAGAACACAAAGAAGATGTCTCAGAATGCAGAGTTAAAAGTCAGAGATGAAAACTACTAAAAATGTAATGATACTAGAGGACAAAGGAGCTATAAGCTAAGAAATAGTTGTTCCTAAGGACAAAGTAAGAAATAGAATCAGTAAGTCAGAGGGGGAGACGAACCAGGAGAGATGATGGACTCTGAAAAACAAACTGAGGTTTCTGGAGGGGAGGAGGGTGGGGGGATGGGTTAGCCTAGTGATGGGTATTGAGGAGGGCACATTCTGCATGGAGCACTGGGTGTTATGAACAAACAATGAATCATGGAACAGTACACCAAAACAAATTATGTAATATATGGTGATTAACATAACAATAAAAAATTAAAAAAACAAACAAACAAAAAAGAATCAATAAGTCAAGATAAAGGTGAAGAAAACTTTCCTGAAAGGACAAACAAAATTTTTTTTTCCAACTTTCAGATCACTAAATGTTAGGCAATAATCAGTGAAGAAAGTATTATACCTTGAAAAATCTTGGGCAATTTTTTTTTTTTTTTAAGCGGGGGAGACAGGGAGGGGAGGGGCAGATGGAGAGGAAGCGAGAGAATCTTAAGCAGGCTCCAGGCCCATGCGGGGCTTGATCTCACACCCCTGAGAGATCATGACCTGAGCCGAAATCAAGAATTGGACGCTTAACTTAAGACACCCAGGCACTCCGGGTAAATCATAATTACATGGATAAAGCAAAATTCCTAAAAACATGAAAGTAGAAAAACTAACCTGATGAAAAAACTGCAACTCAGGTTGACTTTGGATTTCTTTGCAACATTAAATGACAGAAAACAATGAAAGAAAGTTTCCAAGTTTTAAGAGAGAAACCCTGTTGAGTCCGAAATTTTATACTTAATTTAAAAAATGTATGAAGGCCCACAAACATGTTACTAAGTACACAAGGACTCAGAAAATATGATTCCTTATATCCTCCTTCAAAGAACTTCTTGAATAAATAAAACCGGCTGTGCCCCCACAAATCAAAATTAAAACCTGAAAAATGGAAAAGCCATCTGTTAAGATTATTGAAAGCAGTTAAAGACAGATATGGATCTAAATAATATAAATAAAGAGGGTTCAAAACCACAGATATTGTCCAAATAACAATACACGGCAGTGGAAAGAAATGAAGTAAACAAAATTCTCTATTTTACATACAGGAGGGGGAAA